AATTGACTCCATGGCAGCGGCCTTCATTTTTATTTATAATGTCATAATTTTTCCAGTAATACAATAGAAATAATTTTTTCAAAGTTTAGTACAATTTCTAGTGAATTCTTGCATCCTTAATATTCTTTCAAGAAGGGTAATATTTGGCTTTGGCCACAACTCATTTTCATGCTTGGTTATTGGTTTGCACTTAAAATTTGTATTAAGAAGAAGGACACAGGGAAAAGGTAACCACAGGAAGTGGGAAGAGAGCTGTAACATTATGGGGATTGCAATCAATGTCATGAAACAAAATGTGTATGAACTGCTGTATGGGAAATGAATTTGCTCTGTAAACTCACCCAAATCAGAATTGGAAAAGAAGTGTATTAAGAGCAACTGATGTGTGAGTGTGCCACACGTGTTAAGTATACCTTTGCACACCTGTGTGCCCTCTGGGAAGACAGACTCCAGGAAGCCTCCCCCCTCCCCTCCCCCACAACCGTAGGCCAACGTGAGCCGAGTCCTAGTTCTCTACTCCACTCCAGCCTGTTAACTTCGGGATCTGAACAAGGCCAACCTGACCTGGTATTTGGGGTTCTGGGTGTCTGGGGGGATTAGGATGTGCCGTGGGCCAGGACCCTGCCCTCAATGCCCCACCCCCACAGGTCAGTGAAACAGGACGACTTCTTCCCCTATGCCGATGGCCCCCACCAGTTCCGGACTGGCTACTTCACCAGCCGGCGAGCCCTTAAACGCTACGAGCGCTTCAGCTACAACTTCCTGCAGGTAGGAGGGTGACTGGCTCCAAGGGATGGCCCAGGGGTCCAGGCAGGCTTGCCTATGGCAACCTATCCCTGCCCAGCAGGTGTGCAATCAGCTGGGGGCGCTGGCAGGACCTGTGACCAACGCGGGACCTTATGGCTCCGGAGACAGTGTTCCCGCCAGTAGGTTTTGGGCCAGCGAGGAGAGGGACTGGGGCTCCAAACCCTTCCCACCTGCACTGGACCATCCCTGCCTTCCCGGGATCGGGTCGGGATCCCGCAGAGGCGCCGCCCAGCTCACTGCCCCCCTCCCCTTAGGGGAGGCGATGGCTGTGCTCCAGCACCACGACACGGTCAGCGGCACCTCCCAGCAGCACGTGGCAGACGACTA